GTGTCCCTCTCTCCCTGCTCCCTTGGCAGCACTCTGCTCAGCTCCTGTTTCTCCTCTCCCTTCTCCTTCAGATCCAAGTTGGGAAGTTCAAYTACACGATTGCCATGCTGCACCTGGGGGGAGGAGAGACTGCCATCATTGTGTCCATTGTCATCTGCAGCATCCTGCTGGTCCTGTCTGTCGTAGGTGAGCTGTTTGCAGCCCGTGCCCAGGTTTCTCTCTGGTGGGGAAGGTGACTCTGAGAGCTGCAGTTGAGCAGTGCCTGGGCTTGGTCTGGGTGCTGTGGGCACACAGCTAACACCAGGATCACTGCAGCACGGAGCTTTTCCTGCCTGAATCCACAGCTCAACTCTGTTATTTGAACCTGTGATATTTACTTATCCTTTTCCCCAAACATTGAATAGTTGCTGTAATATAAAACAAAGAAGGATGTGACAAACTAGTCTCAGTCACAGGCGTGACTGTCCCAAAGGTGCTCCTAGCCCAAGGTGCTCTCACCAGCAGTGACAGGTGCCTGGCTGAGCAGGAAGAGCAGAAGCAGCATCCCCAGGTGGAAATGTGAACCAGGCACGTTGGTGWATGGCACTGGCTGAAACTGGGCCACACACCTTTGTCCTCAGGCTCGGGTACCTGCTCATCACATACCCAGAGTGACTGCAGCAAGAAACCTGCCAGTTCACAGCAAATGAGAGGTKKATAATATGGATTTAATTTATTTTTRATAAAGGCTGTAATGCACCCTCTTTATTAGATGCTGTACCCATCATTAGAAACATATTTCAGGAGGCGTGGGAAGACTATCAGATGTGAACACTTGTGTAATACAGGTGGTAAATGTCCTCAATTCTGTATTCATTAATCAGCTGGAACACATTAATAATACAGTTAAGTACAGACAGCCCAGACCTRAATTGAAGATGACAGTTACAGCATGATCATTAAATTCCAGCTGGTTTTACTTATTTACAAATAATCGACAACTGTCTGAGCAGATACCAGTCTGGTGCTAGGTGTGAAAGCAGTTCAGATGGGTTTRGCTTTCTTCACCCATGTCAGAGAGATCGCTCTGATCCCGCTGCAGCTGCTCTGAAGCCCCAGTCCAAAAGGCTTGTTCCCTTCCTTTTTCCAGCTCTCTTTGTGTTCTGCACAAAGAGCCGCAGAGCCGAGCGCTATTGGCAGAAAACGCTGCTCCAGATGGAGGAGATGGAGTCGCAGATCCGCGAGGAGATCCGCAAAGGTAACTCACTGTCTGGGTGCCAGGGAGCGGGGCTGGGAGGGGGTTAGCACGCTTGAAGCCATTCACTTTTGCCCTGTGGAAGTTTACAGAATTATTTGTAGGACAATTTCTGTCATCATTCCCTCCCTGTGAGCCGGGTTTGGGAATGTGGCTCCGTGCTGCAAGTGTGGCTGTGCCTGTCCTGCTCCTGGCTTGAGCCAGCCCCTGATCTCCAGTGCCACCAGCTCTGCCCTGGGTTAGTGGCCCCTGGCTGTGTCAGAGGGTTACTGAAGGCCACGCTGTCCTTCAGTGTGCTTTACTCTTGGGTGCCACAGAAACTCAGCACACTTTCTCGTAGAGCAGTGGGAGAAGTGTTCCAGGTGTTGGCAGCTGCCATCCCATGGTCCATGATCCCGACACACCGGCTCCTGTCCTGTCCTGAGGGACTGAGGGGACCTGGGGCTGGGCTCCTGGGGCAGAGAATGTTCTGTCAGTGCTTGGGGCAGGGTGTACACTGTGATGGTTAAACCCCAATGGGCTCAGAGCAAACACAGCTCCATCCCCAGCGAGGGAATGTCTTAAAGAGCAGAGAAGAGCTGGGCTGTGCTTTCCAGTGGCAGCCTGTCTCAGCTGCTGGGGGATCAGGCTCCAGTCTCAGCTGCTGGGGGATCAGGCTCTCACCATCTCGGGTCTCTTTGTTGAAGGTTTTGCAGAGCTGCAGACAGACATGACAGACCTGACCAAGGAGCTCAACCGCAGCCAGGGCATCCCCTTCCTGGAGTAYAAGCACTTTGTCACCAGGACATTCTTCCCCAAAGTAAGGAGACAGTGTGTGTCACGGGCACCTCATTGCTCCCAGATGCTTCCCAACCAGTGCTAAAGGGCTTTTACAGTGTCACAAAATCATTCCACTGTTACATATTTACTTGTCACATATTTCAGCCTTWATTATCATCAAAAGTGGAGCTGCACCTCCTGGCATGTCACACAAGGTCAGGCTTGCACACACATGACAGGAGCTGGTGGCAATTGTCCCACGAGTTGCTCCAGCTTTCCCCTTCGGGGCCATTGGACACCATCTTGTGAAAGCATTCACAGGAGCAGAGTGCWGGGGACTCTCCTTCTGCTCAAGGGCTCCAGTGTCATCCCACTCCATCCAGCACAGGCTGAGGGGTGGCTCAAGTGTGAATCTGCCCTTGGCAATAGGGAGAGGGGCATTTTGCCCCACGCAGGGTGCTCCCAAGCATTCCCAGCAGCTTGGCAGGCCCTCAGGAGCTCTTGGGATTCTCTGTCTGTCCCCTCCWCCCTGTCCAGGCTGGGTGTGTGGGTCCCTTGGGCACCCAGTCCCAATCTGTCTGCCCAGAGTCCTTTGGCAGAGCTGCCTCAGACGTGCTGGTGCCATCACTCCTGTCCCTGGCTGCTCTGCAGCTGCCTGGGTGCCCTTCACTCGGGCTGTATTTCACCCTTGAGGCAGCGGAGTGTCGGTGCTGAGGACTGAGATGATGATTTATGACTGCAGAGTGTTTCATTAGTAGCTATTACTCAGGCCTTTCAGTTATCCAGTCTCCATATCTCTGCACGTGAGAGGCATTAASATTCAGGATGCTATATGAATGCTAAAGATTTAAACATTTTGCCCATCTGTTTTAAAAGTTACGTGTGTTGAAACACCCAGAACTCCTCTATTTTTATTTAGTCTTCTGTAAAGCTTTCTCTTCTGGGAGTTTTCTAGCTGTCACATTACTCTATTTGCAGTCTCCCTGCCCTCCCAGCCTTGTGTCTGTGCAAACGTCTGCCTCCCCCCATCCTTGTGGTGTTTGCTCATTCCAGAGGCTCTTGCCAAGTGTTTCAAGGTCCCTAAAGCAGCCCRTGCATGCCTTTGGAACGGGTGGCCTTGGTCCCATTAACATGTCACCCCATCCCCTCGCTGGGGTGGACAGCACACGGGGGTCCCTGTGGGTGCAGTGCCTGCCTAACTTTGTGCTTGGTTCCAGTGTTCCTCCCTGTACGAGGAGTGYTACATCCTGCCCTCGCAGCAGCTCAGCTCCCAGCTGCAGGAAACACATCCCCTCCTGGTGGGGGAATGGAAGGTAAGGGACCCAGCACAGAACAAATGCTTTGGGGTATTGCTGACTGTTAACACAGAGCAGCAGGGTAACTGAAGGAGGCAGATCTGTGAATCTGCTCTTGCATGGAGAAGCTTGGCCTGGGATTCCAGGAATCCAGCTGGGAAACCAGCAGCTTCCTGGCTCTGCTGAGGGCTCCTCCTCCTGTGTGTTATAGTGTGTGTCACTTCAGTCCCAACTGCAGTTCTTCATGAGTGAGATTCCTCTCAAAAGGGACTCGGTAAAAGCTGCTGTTGTCTCAGAGCTGAGTTTCATGTGAATGAGAAGCAGGCAGTGAAGAGTCAGACTTGCTTAGATTGGAAGGGACATGTGCTAAAAGCAGCCCCATCTCGATGACTTTTCTGAGGGCCTCGTCCAACTGTGCCAAATACTTTCAAGGACAGAAATCCCACAGCCTCCTGGGGCCTCATTCCAGTGTATGACACCCTTAAAAGCGAGAACTGCCTTCCTTTTATTTAGTTAGTGTCCCATGCTCCAGCTGGTGTCCCCCTGGCACTGTGCCATTGAAGAGCCTGTCTCTGTCCTCTCTGCCCTCCACAGGGCAGCTGATGCTGCAGAAAGGTCTCCCTTTGTCCTTTCTCAAAGCTGACCCAACCCAGCCCTCTCCACCTGTCCTTGCACACCCA